TAATTACAGATAATTACAGATAATTACAGATAATTACAGGTAATTACAGGTAATTACAGGTAATTAATCCAACAGGTGGAGGCCCATGAACCCCTTTTTTGGGACCACGGACCCCTTCTATCCTCAGGGGGCTCTAATATGTAGACGTAAATAGTGTGTGAACTTAATTACGTCGTATAGGTAATTTCAGGTAATTACAGGTAATTATAGGTAATTAGAGGTAATTACAGGTAATTCATGCAACAGGTGGGGGCCCATGAACCACTTTTTTGGGACCACGATCCCCTTCCTCCCCTGGGGGCTCTAATATATAGACGTAGAAAGTGTCTGAACTTTATTTCGTCGCATAGGTAATTACAGGTAATTACAGGTAGTTACAGGTAATTACAGGTAGTTACAGGTAATTACAGGTAGTTACAGGTAATTACAGGTAATTAATGCAGCAGGTGGGGGCCCATGAACCACTTTTTTGGGACCACGAACCCCCTCCATCCCCTGGGGGCTCTAATATAATGGGTGCTTTAATATATATAGGTGGGGGCTTCACATTAGCTTCATATTAGCTTCACATATGTTAAAGTAGGTATTGTACAAGCAGTGATACTGGAAGTATCATCTGCTAAAAAGGAGCTTTGTCGACCTGAAAGTCTGAGAGGGGAAGAAAGTGTTTAAATACATTTGGGTGCACTGCTTTAAAATGCCCAGATTGAAAATTTCGAGTTTTAGTAATGTGTCTCAAAGGAATTCTTCGTCCTACGAATTACTCCGTTGAGACCCTACGTGTTTGAATTTTAGAAAGAAGTTACAGAAGTTTGTAATTTTACAAAGCAACAGTTCAGAGTACATCGCGTCGCGATTATTCTCAAAGGTACCAAGGGACGACGGAATGATTAATGAATTACTAAAATATTCTCTGCAATCTGCAAGCGTGGTTTTTTTCAAGTGGGGAAAGAGGTAGAGAATGCGCAGAATGTGCGACGGAAAATGACAGGAAGACAGGGATGATTGAATGCCTGTGAAAGAACAAGACGGATGGTTGGAGGAGGGTGGAGAGTGGCAGGGAGGGGGGAGGGGGGGATTGAAAAGTGAAAGGGGGGGGAGCAGCAGGGGGTGTTCGACGGAATTGGAGGGTGGTGCAAGAGAGATAGCGCGGAGGCGGCGCGGGGCGGGGCCAGAGCAACAGGCCCGGGCGCGGCGGGCGGCGGCCACCAGCCTCAGCCGCCCTGGGGAGATGGCCCAGCCGGGCACAGCCCACCCAGCCCGGACATTAACTGGGGCAACTTGTAAAAGCCGGGCGATAGAGAGAGGGAGGCGTGGGGTCCGGCGAGCATCTCCTCCTTCCAATACACATCTCTACACATCGCCGGGATGCTTCTTTCTTGCTTCACTCGCCACGCTCCCGCACCTCCACCACAACATCCCCGACCCAACCAAAATCAAAACACACACGCACACGGGGCAAACACAC